CACTGAGTTATGTTCTCAGACTGTTTAAGGCGTATTTTTAGGATGGAGAGACTGGTGTAGGATTTTTGAGACTTCTGGTTATTTATATAAATGTGGCTATGATCTAATGAAGTGATTGCCAGACAGCATGAAGACCTTTCACATCTTCACTGACAGATGAGGGAGCAGGATCTAGGCAAGTGTAAGTCACTCATCCAAGGTCATACAAGTCAACTGAAGCAGAAGGGGATTTTGAGTCATCTCGTTATTCTCAACTCAGATCACCACAAACACTGCCTGAAAGAGCTTAGTAGATAATGAGTTCCTATAACAATATAAAAATGATTTATCATAGTATCCACCATTTTTTAATGCCCTAAATTTTTTATTTAGATTGCTTTCTGAATAGAGCTAATTCCCACCAGCCCTCTGGAAATGCATGAACTTCCTTATGCATGTCATGCTGTATAATACCAGAAGTCATGCATTATAGGGTTGTATTTCAGGCCTGGCTTTTCATGCTGCAAATGTGCAGAAAGAAAGAATGAATAGGATACATGTGCAAATATTAGCTCAGACTCTGGGCACTTTTTATCATATTGAGATATTCAGTATTTCATTTCATACTTTTTTTTTTTAACTTTTCAGAGTGGCCAAGTCACGTGCATGGTGAAGAATTGTCCCTTGGCTCCATGTCTCAGTCCTGAATTGATGAAAGGAAGCTGTTGTCCAGTGTGCAGAGATCAAGGAATGCCAGCTGATGCCTCCAAGAAACACTAGCCAATATCTGCTCTTGAACCCTGAACAGAGAATTTCTCAGGGAGAGACACTTAGGAGTTCAACTTTTAACCTGTAGTCACATCCTTGATACGGAAACCACTGATTTAAGAACAAGCTAGTTCATTTAAACCTTAAACAAATTGAACGTCTTTTATCTTTTCATTTTCTAATGAGCTTTGGGATAATGCAAACCTAAAAAGGGTATAAAGAGCATAGGAATGATTTCATCTTAAGGAAATTTTCTGATTGTAAGCCATAGGTTTTAAATATAAGGTAGAAAATAAAAGAATATAGTATAATCATTTTTTTAAAAATATGAGTACTATGGAAAGTACCCATCAAAATTCAGAGATTTCATCATCTGAAGGAATTTTGGGAGAATGAAAAAAGAACTATGAAAAATCTGTGACAATGTTGTGATGCTCTTCTCCCCACCCAGCTCTTTTCTTAGATCTACATCCTTGGCAGTTGGCAGATTTTGCTGGGGAGGTGCTTGTCTTAACTTTCATTAGTTTCTAACTTCTGAGACATTAGGGAAAAGTCAGTGAAAGAATATCATTATTTTAGGGAGCTTGTCAGTTTTGCATGTGGCTGGAAAATGCAAACTCTATGCGAGAGTGACTTCAAAGCAAAATTCCTCAGTATCTGCCTTTCTCTTACTTGTCATTATTACGAGTCATGAGGTGTCAACATTGAAATATAGCCAAGATTGAAATTCAGGCGCAATATGAATTTACTATCAGAAAAATTGAAAAGCGTTCTTGACTTTTACAAAAGGTGTTCCTATGGAATTCTCCTGATTTTGGTGCTTTTACAGCATTTCATACGAAACCCCATAGTATTCAGTAAATTATGTGATTTTCATTTACTATTAGAATGAAAATATGACATAAAATGTGATGTGCACCCATATGTGGGGGTTGGATGCAGTTGTGGGTAAATAGCTTTAAATGAAACTTTGTGCCAAAACTTCATGTAGTGTCCTGCCAAGACAGGATCTCAGGGAGATAGCTTTACTGATTTCCAATCACAAAAGAAACTTTTTAAAACAAACATAATTTCCCCAAATTTAGAGTTATTACGTAACCTTCTACATTAATTTTAGACTAGATATTCTTGTGGTTTTAGTATCATGAGTGTAGGAAGATGTTTTGGAGTTTGATAAAATGAGTATTATAACTTAAACACATGTACTATCTTTTGCTTTCACATATATATTTGTATGTATATGTATTGGTGCTTGGGATTAAATCCAGGGCTTCACACATGCTTAGCACATGTTTTACCACTGAACTACACCCACAGCTTTATATTTAATATGTCATTTTTAAAAGTCATATTGCACATGATAAAATTTTCAAATGTTTCCCAAAGTTATATCAATCTCTGTCCTCCATTTCTACAGTTCAAATATGATTACTCTTTTCAGTTTCAGGGTATGTGTATCTGTCTGTGTGTTTGTGCATGTGCATGTTTCCATGTAAATATTCTATGAAATACAAGCATTGACAGTGTTTCTTCCTTAGTAATTTTGTTTGTTATAAGTAAACTTAAAACATTGGAAATCCAAGTGAATTTGTTAACAACATTTTAATATATGACATTATGCTTCAATATCTACTTGAGATAACATTTATTGTTTCTTATATGTGATGATACTCTTCTGATCTGGGACAAAAGGATTTAATAGATTTGATATCCTCTACTTTCACAGGAAGGTGTATATAAAGAATACAAAGCATTCCTGGGTTCACTGTTTTTTAGATTTCTTCTAATTTAGAAAAAGAAAAGTTTTTAGCCAGCATGTGTGATTGCATGAGAGGGTTCAAAACTGTCTCCTCTTCAGGAGGACTTTAATTACTTTCCTAGGCCCCCTGCACATAAATGACCATACTGCACATAGAACAGCAGGACATGAAGTTGAAGGGGTATACACTACTTTTATTTGGGATTGGCAGTTGAAAATAGAGCACTTATCTCACAAATAATCTTTAACACTCAGGACAAATAACAGTATATAATAAAAATGAGTGATTCTATTGATTTATTTGTTTTCTAGAACTGCATTTATGGGTGAGGGCAAAGGTAGGGAGAATGGGTTTTCTAGTAAAGATTTTTTTAAACTATTTTTAAAAGTTAAGTTTAACAGTATAGTTAATGTCTACTCACTGAACTGTACTTACTACAACTAACCCAGGACCAATGTCATGTGTATGCATTCTAAGCTTCTGTTTCAAATAAAATATAGTTCATTAGTAGGTCAAATCAAGTTCAAAGACAGCTCATATAGAAATCCTTTCTACCATGTTCAGAGAAATATGCAATATTAAAAGCCACATTTAGTTGAATGTCCTCAAAAGTTATTGGCATGGTAGAGTTTATGAAAAATAACATACATCTGTTTTATGAATATACAAAGTGAGAGATGATATAAAGACAAATGATTCTAAAAGCTGTATTTTAAATGTAACGTTGTAACTCTACTTTTAATCCTTGTGTGAGATAATCTGATGACTTTTGATATAAGCACCAGAAATGAGTCAATATTTAAATCTTCATTTCAAGTATAAAATAGGAAAAAAGGTATGTAATGTTTCTCAACATTATGAGGCACATATCCTTTTCTATTAATAAACTTTGTAAAAGAATGAGACAGGGTTTCGCTAAGTTGCCCAGGTTGGCTTTGAACTTGGAATATTCCTGCCTCAGTCTCCCAAGTTACTGAGATTACAGGTGTATACCTCCATGCCCAGCTAACTTAAAAAAAATTAATTACACTTTTATTCGCAAGTGGGAAATGTACTATCAACTACTCATTCATTTTTTTACCTGGCTACCATTCAGTCATATTTTGGTTAAAGGAGTCTTGAAAAAGCTTAATTCTACGTGCATGAATATATCTGATATGTTGAGAATAAATGAAGTTTTCTCAAGGAACAATCTACCAGGATCTTTGTCTACCAAGAATGTATTTAGTGACCTCCGGAGGAGGGGGCATGTGGTGTGGTGTAGAGCCCAGACCTCAGTCTCGAGATCTTAGGATGTTGTTTCTAGAACTAAGAGGAGCTAGAATGAAAATGTTTTTCTTATTGAGAATTACTAGTGAATTTTTAATGTGTAGAAATTCTAGTTGTGTTCCAATTTTAGAAAAATGACATCAGGATCCAACAATTCAAGTCAAGGCCACATAAGCTGAGACAGCTTACTGGAATGAAGCAGTTAACACCATTTGGGGGGAAAATTGACTAAATTGAATTAGAAGAAAACTTGGGTTTTTTAGAGACTTAGAATCTCCCAAAAGTTATAAAAATCAGGTGCCCCTTTTAAAAAGCATATATAAGAGAAATAGCATGATTTTCTGTCAAAGCAGAGGAATACATGATCGACTTGGGAATCTCGGACTTGAGCAAGTGAGTAGGTTTCAGTTTGCTCACAAAAGAAAGAAAACCAGTTTATAAAGAGAAAGCATCCAAGCTGGATGAACAGGTGTCTATGAGGAGAAGAGTTTAGAGCCAGAATTGACAGGACAGGCCTGGGACCCACACAGCTATAGAATGATGAACATGGAGATACCAGGAATGAACCCAGCCATAGGAAGAAGACAGGGTCACACTGGCTCCTGTTAAAACAAAGCCCAGACTGTGGAAGTGCCAGGAGCCTTCAGGAGCTGTTTCATGTCTCAACTGCCTCAAATTGCTAACAACATGGAGAACTGACAGAACCACAATTCTGCTCTTCATATTTCTAGAAATGCTCAATAAGGATGACAAAAGCATGCAATGTGTAATTGAACATAAGAGGAATGTGTGCCAATAGAATAAACAATGAGCCAGGGACAAAATTAAGTCATATGCAGGGTTTAGCAGGTAGGGTATAGTGAACTTATAAAGGGTCATTAAACAAACAAACAAACCCATAAACTAAGTCACTTCCATAGGATGTCCTTCCCCATAAAAGAGGCCTAGAAACTATGATTTGAGCCCAGAGATGCTGCAAGAAAGTTCTTTATTTAGAACTATTCATGGGAGCAAATCTCTCATAACATGGGAAAGTGTGTAGTCCAAACTGACACTAGCAATGAGATGAGTGAATCTGCAGCCAAAAAACTAATAAAAATAGTTTTTTATACCAATAAAGAAATCAAAAGCCACATGAAGATACAGGTAATCCTACGGGTTAGTCAAGGATCACAACAAATAAGATTATTAGCATTCCATTCCTAAGAATTTGAGATAACAGAATATTATAAAAGAAACTACCATGATGAGAGGAGGGAGGGAGGCAGAGTAAAGCAGTCTACAACAAATTTAAAAGAGGTGTGAAAAAAAAGGAACATCTAAAAAAGAAAATTACAACCAATAATGTATAAGTTGATTCAGGCAGAAGATTTAAATAACATTAAAGAGAATTTTAAAAATGTAATATAGATGTATGAAATATGCAGAATATAAAGTGGTAACACAAAGAAGATGCTATTACAGTAAAATAATAAATTTTATACTGCTTTTAAATAAGGAAAAACTATAGAGGTGAAAATAAAACAACAATGTAAGATATTCAGAGTTTAACAATTCTAAAGTCATATCTTTGGTAAGGAAAGGGATCTTACACCACGTCCCAGCATTGTGTGCTCTTTGTGTATGGTAGCCAGGAACCATCTTGAGAAGGGAGCTATTGTCCAAATTCAGACAACTCTAGGAATCAGAAACAGCCGCGTATTTCTGTGACCCCGCTGACATCCTACAACAGGGGCTTGGGGGTAACTAACTCAGAAACTTAATTTGGCCCAGTAGAGTGACATAGATGAAAGCCAATGGATGCTCTGTACTATTGGAAACAGGTGTTACTTGGAAGTGAATGGGGGCACCACCCTCAAGATTCAAGGGTTCAGTAATAGACTCTAATACAATAGTAGTGGAGATTTAGTACTTCACTTTTATCAATGTACACACCATCCTAATAAAAAGTCAATAAAGAAATCAGATATGTCAGAAAAATATCAAATGGATTTAACATTTACAGAACATTCAATCCAAAAGTTTCAGAATACACTTTCTTTTAATTATTACATGAAATTCTCTTTAGAAGAAAGCATATATTAGACCACAAAAAAGTCTTAAAAATTAAAAAACATTGATATCATATCCTG